ACCTACCTGTAAACTGAATTTTCGTCCAAGTACAGAACTTATCGGGTAACTGAGTTTAATTCGAGAAGTCGGCTCAGCGCCAGGCTCACTCAGGATCACGTAACCATTCTGAAAGGGTTCAAAGAATAATAAAATAGAAGCGAACTTCTGTAAATTTGTAAATGACACAAACAGAGGTCATAAAATTCCTCTGAGGCAGTTATCGGGCATCATGAGGTCTGTGGTAGAAGGTCTACGGTGTAATGGTGTGGAAGAATCGACATAGATTTGAAAGTTCGATCCCACTCGACCTTGATCAGGGGCGATGGAAGTTTTCAAAAAAAAAGCCAGTGCTAACAGCCATCTGATCTGGCCACAGTTTATCGGAAAATTCTTTTCTGAAGTATAATGTAGCCTCCCTGAGGAAATTAGTGTTCTGTATTCCCTTCTACTGACGAATAAATGACCCGAAGTTAGCAAGAAGTAGAAGAGGGTGGTATAAATTCACTCCCCCTTCTAATGTATCTTCAATCTACTGTATCGAGTACAGTTATTCGTCTATCCCATTGAGAACATTGACATAATCAGAGGAAGTACTTACGTAGAACTGTCGAATTGGCTCGTTGAGTTGACAAAAACTGTCGCAAAAATGATTAAAGCTTTCATTCTGCCCAGTGATCCGATTCAACATCGTTATATTGTTCATGGCGTAGTTTAATATCTGTAAGGACATCTTCTACCGTAATCTATTGGTACAGTAACTCTTTAGCTTTACCTCGACCGCTTCACGCATATATTCGGGCCGTATCATACTGCCATTATCCTTCGCCACTACAAACAGATACGGAGCTACTGGTAATCCTGAAACGTCCTTTTAATCACGTAAGTACTAATCGACAACCGATTTCGGGTTGGCCTGCTTTCGAGTGATTTGAAACGATCTTTAGTAACAAAATGAAACCTAATATCGCAAGAAAGCTTATTATAAAGCTGAGAAAGGTGATGTCTGCTGCGCCACGCACCCTACTCTTGCTGTTATTGCCAATTCGATTGGTTATTCCCAAAATCTTTCCATTTCTTTCACAATTCATCCTACGCTGATCAAAGCCTTTACTTCACGGGACAGCGGGATATCCCTTAAGAACAGGCCCAGGACATAGGCCTACCGTAGGCGTCATCTTTCTGGCATTGACGTCCCTTGCTACTGCCGCGAAAAGCTGAACCTTGGACCATATCCGACTCCCTACTCCCTCTCAGAAGGTTTGTCTCTGCACAGACTACCTGTCTTACCACCTGTTCCCCAAACCACAACAATATCGAATACTTTACCCAATTGATCATCACCGCACCAATGTTTACTAGCGATTACTTGGCGAATAATGACTCTTTTATACATCACCCACATACTCGCCCTAGTGTTCTTTCTTCTTACTGGGACTTTGACCCAAAGATCGGGCTGACTCACTTCTAATAGGGCCAATAAGGGATCAAAACGACAATTCAAGGAGTAATGACTCAGTTGTATTTTGAAATAATGCGGTGTTTACTGAAGTTCCAACCTACCCTGAGCTGAAAAGAAATCCTGATACTCTTGAAATTCATCTTTTGCCCGTGCACCATATGGTGTATAGCCGGTAATTTCATTTCGTTGACTGAAAAACCAATAATCGATCCGCTTCACTTATGCTAAATTTATAACTAAAGCTTACGGTGTGAGCAGGATTTTTACCATCGATAATCCTGAGATGATTAAACAAATAATAATAGCCGTCCATGGCCATCGAGTAATAAAGAAACCCCATTTACGGAATTTGTCAATAATCCAGATGACAAATTTTGGTCCTGAACAGAATACCGACTTCAGGGATAAAGACATTCTTTCCAGCTAGGACATAGCATGGCTACTATATTTATCGCCATGGAATTTCTAAAAGCTCCTCTTATCATATTTTTTGTTAGAATAGGATTTCTTCGGCATGCAGCCAATCTTCATGGGACGTTCACCGACTGACAGTGGGCGGAAGCCAAAAATTTCAGAATTTCTCGAGGTTGCTAGGACCCATACTACCACACCATGAGGCTTTTATCGATAATTCCTTCTTTATTGTTGATGCCATGACCCAGAGTTAGGTAATCGGTCCCATACAGTACCTAATTCTGGTTCTCAGTACTCAAATGATTCTACTAACTATAAACCAGATGACAAATTTTGGTCCTAAATAGAATATCGATTTCAGGGACAAAGAAATCCTCTCCAGCTACATAGGACAGTATGGCTACTATACGTATAGCTTTGGAATTTTTTAAAGCGCTTGTTATCAGATTTTTTGTTAAAATAGGGTAACACTGGCACGCGGCCAATTTAGGTGGACATTTATCGGCTGACGGAAGGTGGGACCGAAAATTGTTTGGAAAATTCTCGAGGTTCCTCGGACCCATACGACCATACCGTAATTCTTCTGACGAAGATTTTCTCTCAGTTGTTTGTGCCATGGCCCAAAGTTGAACCCAGGTCAGATAAGGATCCCATACAGTACTCAAATAACTCTGTTAACCAACTGGTAGCTACATACCTTGATTCTGCTCCCCATAGACATCGAGTGAGCGTTGTCCTATGAGGATTGACTGCCGTTTTGGGCGAATACCCTCCATTAGACAAGTATGGGTGTTTGTGGATGATGTTGGTGACAATGGCCACTGATCACTCTGAAACTGCAAAGAACGTCGTCGCTACGTCGTGACCCTGACGCTAAACGATCATCGAACAATAAACACACAAATAACACAACGACACGCTTTTTGGAAACTGCTGGTGTATCACGTGCTCCAATATCTTCCCAGAGAGACCCGAATTCAAGAAGCAGACCTCATGAGCAAGAATAATAGGCGGAATGGGCCACAATGGACTCTTTTTAAGGAAAAGTTTTAGCTGGGGAGTTGTAAAAAATCAATTATCGACTTTGTCATGGCATGAATTCAGGTAAAACTGCCTCAAACTGTCTCGAATCGCTTTGAACTGTCTTGCACTACCTTAGACTGCCCCAGATTAGACTCTATTTCGAATGGATTTCCCTTCTCTCTTCACTCATAAAAGATAGGACATCGCAATTGTAAGGTTTTTCTGTGAAGACACACTGTAAGGACATGGTTTTCGAACGTTGCCACAAATTTTCTTACTAGTCGGCCTGACCAATTCTATAAGAAGAGAAGGTAGTTTAGAAAAGTTTTTTTTAAAAATTTAGAAGGTCTCTAATAATCCACGAGTCCACAGGGAAGTCTTAGAGATGGTTGTATTCAAAGAGAACTCCGGCTTCGTCGCAATAAAACTAATATTGGATGTATTCCAGCAAATAAGTATATAACGAATTTCCGGATTATACAAAGCCTAGCACACAATAGCAACAAACAAATAAACAAACAACTTCGTTGACGTTGAATTTGGCCAGCCAGTGTATGGACCTATATTCGAGTCCATATTTTCCATGACTTTAACCTAAATCCCAATCAATCGATGTCAAAAGAGATCTTATGAGAGTACCAGTGTATACAACTGGTAGAGGAAAATCAGCTCTCATTAGATCCAAAACAAATAGTAAGTTTCCGCATTGATAAAACCTCAACACAGCAACGAAGAACGCACAAGGGTTGGAACAATGTGAAGGAAAAATGCGATGCCCCACCTACCATACTCGCCTAACATCGTTCGAAGGACTTTCACCCATTAAGCAGACTCCTAAGTATTTCACAATTGTAAGTGTAAGTGTGGTTCTCATGCGAAAAAATGGGTCAATAATTTTAAAAAAATGAGTGAAGAATAAAGAACAAAGTCCTTCAATGTAAAACAATCTCAGTTTTGTGATGCGCACTCGCACTTGGCTTCCATTCAGAATCGTAGTAGCGTTTTCAATCCGTATGTGCCCCATACAATAAATACAATGGCCAACGGTAACCACCCAATGAACAAGTCGATGTTTTTATCCTCCCAGATGAAACCCGTAACTACTAACTGACCCACTTGGGACGGCTCAGAGGCGCGGTCGGTCTGGGCTGATATCGATACAGGATTCGATATTCAAAATGCATGTGATTGGAGCCACCTGCCACTGCACCACCCGTGCCCAAATAATAGTATTAAAAAAGAAATAAACAATAAACAATAAATAAAGAAAAAATAAATAAAACAGCATGATATAAATGCTGAAAAAGAGCATGTAATGTTTCAAAACTGGCATTTATCAATAATCCTATCTCGGCAGAGTCGGGGGGTCAACTGACTTGACTGAATTTTGGGATTCGACCCTTCGAGCATACGTGTGGTAGTGCACCTCTAGGCATTGCACCACCTTCATGGAAAACGATGTCTACCTCTTAAGAAGAAATGACGGGGGAAGCAAGATAAAAACTAATTTCAAAAGCCCGTTGTTTGAATTTTGAAGATGTTTTGAAAATGCTAAATATAGCCCTAAAATGGCTGGGCCAGGTCGACTGACTCTATCAGCTTCACTTTACAATAGGGTCACCTGTCTGTAACTATTTTTAATGAAATCGACGGTACTTAACTCCATCGTCAGGCATGGATTTATGTTGACAGACATTTACATATTTAAATGTTTACGAAGGACATATTTTGGCTAAAAATAAATTCGCCGGCTGGTTTCGGCATAAGAAACTACTTAAATCATTCAATTGATTCCGAATTCAAGATCGATTCTTATCCTATTGGAACCGGACCTGAATCGCATTTTACTTCTGGAAACTGGTTCTTCCTGCAAAATCATCTCAATGCATTTGTCAGCAGATGAAAATGCAAATTGATGACAAGGTAATTTTGACTAAAAATGTCCGTTCATATTGGGGTTACGCTCACGTTCCAAACATGGGTCGGTCACACTGTTTTTGATGGGATAACTGGTAATTGTCGGTTTTGCTACAAAAATTTAGCATCTGCAAAAACTCCATCTATGAGGTGCCAGAGTAGGTTCTTCGAACATGAACGAAATACACCGTAAGGCTCGGTGACGAAGAATAAGCCATGCACTAAGCTTTCACCCAAAATAGCAGACGCGTCCAACTCCGTGCTTAGCTTACGTGCCAACCAGGTGAAGTTATTCTACCAGTTGATCTACATAGGCATAAGCCAGGTCAAGCTGCCCACATCATGGTCCGGGCGTCATATTCCAGATCTATATCTGCCAAGGCCAACTAAGCCATCCATTCCTTCGGGATTGGATAACTGCTACCAGACTCGTGTGGGAGGATAAAAGTACTGACTTGTACATTGGCTGGTCACTGCAAGTCATTGCATAGGCCACATACGCATTCAAGATGCCGCTATGATCCCAAACAGAAGTCGAAGAATGGGGGGCAGATCTCAGTGAGGGCTGACACCCCTTTGAGGTCTGCTCCCCATTCTTCGACTGGAAGGCTTCACCACCTCTGAACTTTAACGATAAGTCAAGGAAGCTGCCCTAGAGCCTCCCAAACGAACTAGGATAGGACTCTGTGACAGGGGCCAATAGAGGCTTCATTGAGTTTGATTGAAAATATCGATATCCATCAAAAGGCTTTAGGTGACAAACCTCTGTATGAGTTAAAGTAGCGGACCTAAGTGGGTGCCTTTTACCTGCCAGGCACCGAGAATGGACTGAATCGTCACTTCAAATATGACTGTGTGAGGCCTTGACCGAGCCCATTAGGCTAACGTTCACGTTTTTTTTCCCTGTCACGTTTTTCATAACCCCGAAGCCACATCTACCGTTAAATTACCATAATCCTTCTGAATTATGGACTATGTCAAGGTTCACCGATCCCGAAAATGACCACTTGATTCCCTAAGAGGAGAACAGGACTCTAATAGTAACTCCGACGCACTACCTTCAGCACAAATTCGATAAACTCGTCCTGTGACTATGTTCAATGTACGAATTTTGGGCAAAAATTTCTTTTTCTCCCCAAGAAACCCGTTCTCATAGAATTCATGGCATTTCCTACTTACAATGTTACTTCAAAAACATCTTGTTCGGCAATTCAACTTTCAACAGTACAAATGGGGGCAATTTTTGCAATTTTCCTATCACAAAAGTAAATACTAATGTCTTTGACAACCGTCTTTTTGATCCAATGAACTTTTTATTTTATTCGTCATTTTTAGATCACCTACACGTCATTGTGATGTTATTGCGGTAGTAATTGGCAAAAATAGTAACTTTTTTTTTGTTGTCATCTTCAAATAAATCGACAACATGTGAATGCCCTTTCGTGTGGCGTGGGGCTACACACAGACAATCTTGAGAAAAGTGATTAATTACTGAGCGGCGATAATCTGATAGGATGGGAAGATCGCGATCGAATTACGTTCGGCTTAATGATTTAAAGATGAGAAATCGAAAAGTGCACGGAATTGATCGGCCGGTCATTTTCGGATACGCCAGACTCCCACGAGTACGACAAGGGACATCAAAAAGGAATTTCATGGTTCGCTGAGGCAGGAGGGCACTTGGGCAATGTTCTCCAATCCGGCACAGGATAAGTTTTGAAGAGCAGATTCGGGAGAAATGGTGGGAAACCTGGTCCGACAGAAGGCTCCAGGAGTCTTGTCCTGGTAATGAACCTGAAGTAGCCTACTTGGTCCTGTGTAGTGTGAAAACAGCAAGCAATGAAAGGAGGGCCCTTTTCGAGTCCGTTGACGTGGCTGGATACAGATTTCCCGGATACGATCACATTGACCACTAAATTGCCTCTTATTATTGCCTTAATCAGATCACGGACGTCGCTCCTAAGGGATCGAAGATCAGGTGGGCCGACCACGTCATGCGATTTTGTGATGACCATTAGATCAGGCCGGTTACCAACTGGATCCCCAGGGACGTCAAAGGGGCGCTTGGAAGAACGCCTACGCCACAGTCAGAATTTTTAGGAAAGCTCTAAGGAAAAGGAACGATATACTGCGATTGAAGACGACCCACTTAACTACTCTTGCTCTCAACAGAGACTCCTAGAGCGAGTCGATGGCCCGCCTACAGTGCTGAACTGACTCAATTTCCTTGTTTAGAAACCTGCAAGGACCGAAGAGGCTGAAGAAGCCCGTTGGCGTAGAATAGTAGAAGCAAAGGAGGTGATGAAGGAGATGAAATGCAGGTTTGATAACCAAAGGAAGTGGATCAGATGAAGTGCATATTTGAAGAGTAAGCCCAGTGCTTGGCGCAGTTTCACTTTGACCTTCTTCACCCTTTCAGGAGAGTAATGGCCTTGGATGATGACACCATCAAATGAGGGAGGAGGTTCTAAATCAACAATGGGTTGGAGCGCGAACAGGAAGAAAGGCCATTAAGGAAACAGATGGCAACGGTAAATGAGGTATTCAAAAACAACGCATTCGAATTGTGAAGTTGGTAGTTAGGTAAAGGAGAAGACGCCAGGTAAAAGAGGAGACATATCTGTGGCAAAACGTACGTACGTAACAACGTAATTGAACCCGTAGTCCACCACAAGTCTAAGGCTCGCCCGCCTCCAAATGGACGTGTCGGTGTTACAATGGATATCGCAACAAAACACGTTCTAACAGGGGAGAATGTAGCTAAATGTAGCAGTGGGACTGGCATTAACAGGAAAAAACAAGTGATACCGATGTGATGAACAGTGTCACCTGTCAT